AAGACTATCTATACTAGCAGAAGTAAACAACTGTTTATAGTACTTGGCCACCTCTAATGCAATTTCACTCTCATTCTTAGTCCAAGATCCATCCTCCCTTTTCAGGTTACCCATTTTGTTTCTCCTTCCTTTCCCCTTCACCACTGCATGAAAATATTTCGTGTTCTTCTCTCCTTCTCTCAACCAAGTCAATTTAGATTTTTAGCTCCAGTATTGCTCTTCATCCTTGTAAGCCCTACTTAACTGTTGTTTTAGCCTTGCCAATCTCCCTGATCTTCCCTCACTTTCAGAACTTTTTTCCTTCTCCAACTGCACCTTCAGTTGTGATATCGCTTTCTTAGAGTGGTCAATAAAATTATTTCTCCATTTTAACAGTGCAACCCTGCATTTTTTAACCTTGCTAGTCACTCTGAACATTCTGGACCCTACTACCCTCTCATTCCAACCCTCCTTTATTACATCACTTATACCTTCTCTCTTGGTCCACCTCTTATCAAAAACAAATCTTTTCTTATTTTTCCTGCCCTGTGGTGTGGTGTCCAAAACCAGCATACTATGATCAGATGCTATACTTTCCATGTGGGTGCATTTGGCTTGATCAAACAAAGAAGCCCATTCTCCACTACTGAGTTTTCTATCCAATCTTTGTTTTATCTCTCCTTTCTGCCAAAGATTAGTCCAAGTCCAGAGATTTCCTTCATACCCAATGTCTACTAGCTGGTTCTCACTTATAAACTGTTTGAAGTTCTGGAAACTCCACTCCTCTCTAATTCTTCCTCCCCACTTTTCCTTATTAGAGCACAGATCATTGAAGTCCCCAATGATGATCCAGTTTTTGCCCCATAGTTCCTTCCTCCTTTTGATTACTTCCCATTGCCTCTTTCTTATTTGACTGTCATAACTTGCATAGATCCCTATAAGTCACCACTCACTCATCATTTCTTCATCCTCAATCAGAGCTTCAATTGTAAAGGCAGAGTGGAGTATTACCTTAATTCTTGTCTCATTATTCCACATCAGTGCGATACCTCCTGATTTATTAAGAGCATCAATCACAAAACAGTTATCAAAGTTCAGTATCCTCTTAATCTTCTCCATATACTTTGTGAGGACTTGTAAAATCTCTCATATTTTCTTAAAAATTTCCTTTTATTTGGAATTTATTCCTTTATAATAGCCTTACTACTCATTCATTCCCTCAATAGTTACAATTAATCATAAAATCAAGGATTTTCCCTTTTCTTTTATCGTTAAAGTAAATTAGGATTTTTTTGCGTCTTTTGGTAGAGTGAATAACCGGTGTGGAGTGTGTACTCAATTTGGTGATTAAGAGTGAATTTTAGATAAGAGAAAGTGTGTGATTAGAAATAATAATAATAAGTTAGTGAATCATAAGTTAAAAACACTAGTACGCGCGATTTAAGGAAAATCGGTTTGAACCAACGGGTACCGTTCGCTACCGATTGAGTGCACCACTTGAACACTACTTTATTACCTTAATCTCCTTACTTTTATTTCAGCAAAATTAGCCCTAAATATATCCTCCAAACAGCCGAAATTGTTGACTAATAAAAGAGAGGAAAAGAAAAAATTTGAGATTGAAGCTTGAGGCGACACTTGGCAACCATCCAAGGGTTGTTTGACCAACCAATTTCCTTCATTTTTATCACCAAATTCACTTCATTTCCTCTTCATTTCTGCACATTTTGGCCGAGCTTGAGGAGAGAAGAAACCAAGTGAGAAAACTCCAACTTCCACCTTGAATCATCTTAGTTTGAGAGAAATCACCCAATCCAAACCGATTAAACTTTCATTTTAGTACTTATGAAGTTTTGTGTGGTAAAAGTTGTGGAAGAAAGGAGTGTGGTTCTCCTCTACAAGCACTTTTTTGAAGGTATCTTGACTGCCTTTCCTTTTTCTCTTCCTTAATCTTGTTTAAGTTTGGATAGAATCTTGTATTCTTGGCTTGAGATGGTTAATTTGTTAGTTTGGCGTGATATGTTGGATTGTTGAGTTAGGGTTTGAGATTTTCAGTGTGTTTATTGTTGTTTACATAATACATGATGTGGAGGAGCTTGGATAGGGACTTGGGTAGTGCTTCAAGGTATGAATGTGATTAGTAAGCATTGAATCATTAAATTTCTAGCTTTAGAGAGGAATCTGTCCTGCTTCTGACCTGTTTAATTCGTCCATGTTAGAAGCCGAATCATGCCTAGGTCAAAACATGAAAGTTTTAGGGAATGGAGTTATATAGCTGCCTACAAAATTTCACCTCAATTGGAGCACTGTAGAGTGTAAAATGACAAAATTACCCCTGACTGCCAAATGCACTGTTTCGCGGACAGTTTTCTGTTTTCTCTGATATTGCACCTTTTGATCTTGAAAATGAACGAATTGGCTGTCAATGTCTTCATAAGACTTATAGTTCTATGTCTTAGCTTCAAAACGGTATAAAGTGTACTCCAAACTGATAGGCGTAGCTTCAGTTGTGACCGAAACGCCAAGAGACGTCAAACCTGCTATTTTGTTGTGTGTCCTTAAACTTGGTTTCCGGTCGCATTACTAGTATTGTTTTGTAATTGAATGACATTAAGCCTAGTTGAAGGGCTATTGTGGTAACATTGCTTGTGTGTAACTTTGGGGCTAATTTGAGGAAAACAATGAAACCATAAATGGTTGGAAAATAGTTAAATACAAAGGGCATGCCGCCTAAATTTTCACTCGAGAACTAGACGTGTGTACTTGTGGTTCGAGCGAAGAGTTGAGGTTGAATTGAACTTGAATTATCTAGGTTATTCGAGTTCTCTTCTGTAGAGGTATATAAGCTAGAGTTTGGCCAAAACTAGTACCCTTCCAAAAATTAAGGTAACGACTAATAAAAATACGTTTTCCTCGTCTCTTCGACTCAAATGGAGATTTCAAAATTTAATCGCTTCAAAGTTTCAAAATTTTAAGAGCGAGCATGAGTTTTATGAATATCCCCCAAATGAGCTTCAATTACTTGTTTTCATTAAACGAAATGCTTAAGTTTCGAACCTTCATTGATTTCAAAGCTCTTAAACGATATTTTATCGCATATTTGGACTCCAAACCAGGAGTAATACCTGAACGTGATCCGAAGAAGCACTAAATCTTTGGTGAGTGCTTCCAAATACCTGATTGAACTTGATACTTGTTTTCAATACTTGACCAATGTGATCGAATGATATGTGATTGATTTGATTGGGCAAGGGTGTACTTTATCGCACTTGCTCTAATGTGCTATGTTCTTGTTCATTGATTGAAAGTGAATTGATGTACATGCATATGATTCGTATCTTGTCTGGAATTCCAGAAACCCTGTGGCTAGTTAATCAAGTCGATCCGGCCAGGGCTTGGTCGATTCGATAATGAACCCTAGGTCTTGAGTTTTGTCGAGTGGAGTGTTATCTCCTCGACTAATCGGTATACTCGAGTATTACCACCAATGTTTATCTTGGAGTGCAGGCCCGGTAAGGAGTTTGGTTGGTGAACGGAGATTGGAATTAAGTAGGGTACTACTGGACTAGTTACCTTACTTGAAAGTTGACGGAGTGTCAACTACTATACGATCAAGCTATGGTGGAGCTAGTTTACAAGAGCAACTGTATCCTTTTACATGAAATGCTGAATATTTAATGTTTGGTCATCTGAAGTGTTATTGCTCATTTTCTTGATTTGTTAATGCTCGCTAATTTACTATTATGTTATTGTCACTTGTACTTACTTGTCAACTTGCTATTTGGGATCTCACTGAGCTTTAACTTACTCTATTAGTTTTATTTTCCTTACAGGGGGTACGAGTGAGGCGTGTGACTTGTACAGACTAGCGTAGTCTAGTTTTTAAAAATTTTATAATTGTACTCACACTAGTCGCTCGATTAGGGTTAAATGTATTTAGAATTCCAATTGGGATTGTATGGAAGTTTGAGATAGAAATGAATGTATTTGTATGTTTCAAATTTGACAACTGTTGTTTTCTTTACGTTATGAAGTTGTGAATTATATTATCCAAAATAGTGAGTGAGTTCTGGTGAGAGTTGGGCAGGCGGTCCGCTAAACCCTGGGGTACGCCCTAGGGGAAGGTGTGGTCGTCACATACTTGGCCTTGTTTTTTGTCTCACTCGTAAGAATAGCATTGGGGGAGAGGAGGTTCTTCACCTCCTTCAGATAGGGAATTGTCAAAGGGCTCCTTGCACCTTGACAATTCCACACCACAACTCTCATTGGTCTTTTGGGAACCAGTAAGGGTTGATCCCTCTCCCACCTTGTATCTCACCATTGTCCATCATATTGATATCTCCCCTACTCTTCTTAGTATGTGATTCTTGTACCTCCACCTCTTCCATCTCCTCATCCCTAATATGCAATTTCCTCATAGATGTATTTAGGTCTTTTATGGGAGTTCTTCCTCTACTTGCTCTGTCTGACATCTTCCTGTATTTCTTCCCCCCTTTGATAGAACATCCCAGATTTTCTTTTTTCACAAATTCATTAGTTTCCATTATCATCAAAGGCTCCCTTTCTACCTCTTCTACACGATCTCTGGGCTTCTCTTCTCCTATACTTGTCTCTTTACTTACTTTCTCCTCTTCTTATGCTTCTGACTGGGCCTTAGCTTCTGGTTCCTGAAGCTGTTTTGATTCTTGAACCTACAATCTTATAGAACTTCTAACAACTTTTTCTTCCATGTCTGTGGTCCCCACTTCTGCATCTGAGGTTTGATCTTTCTCATTTTCCTTTTCTATTTCTTTTATCTCTCCCTTTCTCTGGTTTGGTCTAAACCTCTCTTGCTCCCTCCTCTCCATCTCTGGCTTATTTCCACCTTCTACAATCTGACTATGAGGCTTGCTCAGAGATTGGTGATTTCTGCTATAGTCTCTATGTGGTAGGCCAAGTTCTGTTTCATTAGCTTGGCTAATCAGGTTCTCTTTCCTGACCAGCTCCCCATCTTTCATTCCCCACACTTGTCTATGAGGTCTTCAAATTTTTGGATTATTCTCTTTTTGGGGGGATCCTTTACTGCTTACAGCTCTCAACCAAGGTCCATATTGATTTTGATGTTGTCCACTTTTCACCACCGCAGGCTCTTTACAATTCCTTTCACTATGCCCAATAATCCCACAACTGTAGCAGAAGTCCGAGCATTTTTCATATCTAAAAGATAGCCATTTATTCACTCCATTCATTTGTACAGTTGTGCCTCTCAACAATGGTTGACTAATATCTGCCTGCACCAGAATTTTCATATGCTTACCTTCTTTGCCTCCCGTTTGTTGGATGATGACATCTTTTACCTCATCAAAAATAGCTCCAATCTTCTTTTCTACTGACTTTGTCAACCAGTGTAAAGGGAGGTTCCAAAATTGAACACATAAAGGAGCAAGGTTAAAAGCTGAGTCATTTTCTTCAATACCTATTTCCCATTCTCTCAAAACCAGAATTTGGTTATCTGTCACCCTTGGACCTCTTAACCATATCCTCTCCTTATCCTGGGCATCAGGTATAGTAAACTGGAACAAGTTTGGCCACAATTCTATGACTTCCAGTCCTTTGGGATAACTCCATGCCACTGTTACAAATTTTTTTACACCAGTAAAGTTGGCTATTTTTTCCCCTTTAATTTTTCCTATCAGACTGTCTTGACAATCCATGATACCGTCATCCACATCTCCCAGATCCAGATAGGTACTTCCTCTTCCTTTACTTGAGAGTGTAAAATTTTGCATTATTTCCACCAGTTCTTTTGCCATAATATCTTTTGAGTGATATTTGGTGGATCCTAAAATTACTACTATGATCACTGCTAATCTAGCTAACTCTTAAGAAGAAAAAGTAAAAGCTAGAAGATTTCTCTAGGTAAAAGCAAACCCAAACAGACTTGCTTCCTCTCTTTTTTTCCTCCAGGAAACGAATGAAGACAACAGACCAAAGATAAGAAGGACAAAAGGAAAGGAGAGACTAGACGAAGTAAAGCAGAAGAGACAACAAAGATAGAAGTATAGCTATACACCAACTTACCTCAGCTTCAGCTGTAGAATTTGGCCCCCTGATGTTTTCTAACCAAGATTATCTTTTAGTTTGCACTTTTTAATGACTCTTTGTTGGCTGAGTTCCGACCAGGCCAATGTTCCGTCCTCATTAAAAATACAACTTAATGGCTATTATAGAATTCAGAACTGCCGCACTTTAAGAAGATGGATTAAGCCATTGGAAGCTTGTAAATTAGGGAGGCATTTCCTATTCAAGTTTTTTAGTGGTGTTTGAAATTTGAACAGGTTTGGAGTTCCCACCAAGGGTAAAAGACCTCTCTTCTCTAGGGAGAGAAAGTGCCTTTACACGTGAGAGGAAGTTTTTTTGGCTCTCCTGAAGGTCTTTTGTTCACTCATGAAAAATATTAACACTGTCTACCATTTGTTAAACCAAAGAAGATGACTTCAGGGTTGTATTGGTAGTTTGGCTAAAGTACAAGGGAAGTAAACATAATTAATTCAACATTTGATTCTGTGGTATGGTGTATTATAAATAGATTTTGATTTGTTTTTGGTTTTTACTTATTTTTCTACTTTTGTTCTTGCTCTATATGTATAAGTATCAAATAATTATCGAATAGAGCCATGAATGACGCACGTGGAAAAAAAGCCTAGTTAGTTTATGTCTCCTACTGTTTACTTGACTTGATTGATCCATTATTTACAAATTAGAAATATACAGCTTTATCTTTCTGATAATTTCATAAATCTCCCTTAAAGTTTCTGACAATATCTTTGGTACCAAATTTAAAAAATCTCACTTGCTTCTCTTACTTTAAACTTTTTATAACATTTGAAATCCATTTCAAAATATAATATTATAAAACTCATTTTGTGAGAGAGAATAATTCCATTCCACATTTCTCTCTTTGTTGTCTTACACTTTACAATAAAACCTTTTTTTTTTTTGCAAGCCCTTACTTTATTAATATAAAAAAATAAAGGAAGAAGATGGAGAAGACCAAAAAAGATAAAAGGGGAGCTCCCTAACATATATAACAATTCAAAAAACTTGAGTATATTAATAATGATCTAAAAATAAAATTCAAAATGTCAAAAGTTTGATTCTAATTGCATAAAGTAAGTGCATTTTTTAAAATCCAAAGATTTTCAAAGTTTATTTGAAATTTTTGCAAGTTATAAAAGTATTATTTTCTTTATTGTAAAGTCTATTAAGTTAATTTAAGGAGTTTTATAAATTGTTCACTTTTATAAATTTTCTATCTTTTTTTGCCCAAATCGATGGCATGAAAACTAGATTAATAAAAAATACTGAAAATTATATATAAACTTCTTTGTGACATTTTCAAATTGGTACAAAACGTTATTTTCATTATTATAAATATTTTCAGTTATTTTTACAAGTATTGTAAATTATTTATAATTTAAATATATTAATATTTTTGTCCAAGTCAATGACATAAAAAACTATTAAACAATCTTTTGACTCCATTATCAACTTTTAAATTTTGATTATTGAACCATATCGATCAAGTTTACAAAATTTAAAAGATAAAAATTAGTTTATTATGACAATTAAGAATCTACAAGAAAAGGGTAAATTTAATAGTAGATTATGTCCCCTCTTCCAAAATGAGTTTTTTAATACTATATTAAATCCCAAAAGCCAGAAAAATACCCAAAGTACGGGAAGCAAGTAAAAAATTTTGTAAAATTCGAAGGTGCCAATTGCCAAGTGACCTTTGAAATTAGGGATAATTTTAGAAACCTCCCCTGAGGTTTCTATCAATTTCACTAGCTTTCCCTAAAGTTTACAAAATTACACAAACTTCTCTTATGGTTAAGGTTTGATAACAAAATTAGTACAATTAGAACAAGTAACATTAAAAAGTAGGGATGGCAACGGGGGGGATTGTGGTGGGGGTTGGGGTGGAGGGGAATTTTTTCCCCCCGTTTAGAAAAGGCCCCACCCCCCGCCCCGCCACCCGTTTGAAAAAATATATATGTACATAATTATATATATATATATAATGATGTTTTTAATTATACTACTAATTATACATGTCTATGAATAAAAATTATTAATTATTTATACTAAATTTATTAATACATTTATGTTAAATTCCTAACTACACTTAATACAATAATATTTTTTTCTAAAAAAATACAATAATAATTTAGTGATTGTATTTGTATCAAAAGTAAAAACTTGATTATTTTAGTTATATTTGTTTTATCATATTAGATTGTATTCAAATAACCTTTGTTTAATTATTTTTATGAGTTTCAATTGTGAAGTTATAATGAATAATAATTTGATGATGTGTTGATATTTTAATATTTGATTATTTGCTCAAATTTAATTATAATGAAATTATATAATAAAATTTTTTAACCCCATGGGTGCCCCGCGGGGGAATCGGGGTGGGGTGGGGCGGGGGTTGTGAGGACCCAAAAATTTACTTATTTTAATATTATATTACTGGTTTATTTAAATATTTATTTACCCGTTTTTTCGAATAATTTATTTCAACCATTTTAAATCCATTTACATGAAATTATGACTTACATATATTTTTAAAACGTCCCGTTAGTAAGTTTAATTTTCGGAAGCTCGTTTAGTAAGATTTAGCGAATACGCGTTTGGAGGCAATATTCGATCTGATAGTACAGTGACCTTGGAGATTTGAGAACTCATGCGTTAGTCTTAAAATAGTTATTTTTATGATTAATTACCCTAGTATTAGTTACTCATATTATCGTTACAAGAATTCCTTTTAGGTTTCGTTTTATCGCATGCGAATTGGAAGTTTGCGTATATCGAGTCGGAGCGGTTAATTGGAGATTTAAAAAATTTATTCTAGACTACTAAGAGTGAATAATTATAATGTTAAAGGAAGTACATTAGAGGTTTAGTGCATATATGAAACAAACCCAAGAGAAAACGGACACAAAACGCGTGCCTGCGCGTACTATTGAGAGTTGACTTTTGAAGGAATTCTAACCACAAATTCTTAGGCTTCTCCAAGAAGCTTCATTGATCAGCCTTCTCTCTCTCTCTCACTCACCATAGCCGGCCAACCCCAAGCAAAGGAAGAAGAGCAAAGTTCATCCCATTTCACTTCCATTTTTGCAACCTTTTCACTTCAAAATCCTTCACACAACACCTAAACAACTTGGAGAGCAACTCAATCTTGGTGGTGGACATCTTTCTCATGGTTTTTCTTGGGTCTTGGAGGTGCAAAATTTCTGATTTCACTCAAAGGAGTAGGAGGTAATCATCCAACCATCTAACCTTGGCTTTAGTGGGTTGATCTTTACTAGGAAGCTTGTAGCTTCATTGTTATTGTTGTTGTTTGGATTTAAATGGTTGGAGTGGACTCTATGAAATCCCACCTTGATGGTATAGGACTGATATGATGATGATGAGTGTTGTTTGTGTTAGTTATGTGATAAACAAGATGAGATTTGTTGGAAAAGTGAAAGGAAAATCGAAGGAAATTGCATAGGAAGCTTGGCCGAAATCTGCCCTGTTTTTCTCAAAGCTTTGGTTCGAATTTTTGTTGCTCAAATGACCTTGAAACTGATGTAGATATGTTATATAGTGTGTAGAAAGTTTCTACGAAAAATTATTTGAATTGGTTGGATAAAAATTGAATTTTGGCAAGAACAAATCTGGAAATTCGTGTAACAGTGGTCCTATAGCAGTGTTCTTTGAACGAACATATCTCTCTGTCCGGGCGTTGGAATTGAGTGCCGTTAGTGGCATTCAAAACTAGACATCCGTAGTTTTCTAGCGGTGTATAATGAACCTTGTAATTCGAATTGAGTCATCTATAGTGATTGATCAAAGTTGGCTGCCCTGTTCTGTTAGTTCAACCGAGAGGAAGTTAGAAGCTGCAACTTGTAGCTCTAATTTCTCTCATTTGTGAACTGAATTTCAAAATGATTTCTTTTGATAAAATGTAAAATTGTGAATCTAGTTTCCAATTCCTCCAACCACACTCAATTTCAAGTTGTATTGAGTGAGATATAGCCCAATTCCCGAACTGTACCAAAGTTGGAAAACCCTAATTTTGCTAGCCAAATGGCCTAGCTTGACTTGGGACATGTTGTTTCAAAAATTTTGGTGTTAAACACCTACCAAATGTATATTAGATATTTCCTAGACCTTAGTGCCGCCAATGAACCAAATTGGAGTTGATTTCATTGGGCAAAATGTTTGAAAAGGGAAAAGGAAACAAGAAGACAGATTTGTCTTCAAAATTTCTTGAACTTTGGTAGTTTTGTTCACTACCTTCTCATACGAGTTTTTATGTGAAATTTGATAGAGGAGTAGCTCTCATATGGAAGTTGAATTGTACGAATTTTGGTGTCATTATAAGACTGTTTTGATATACAAATGATAGGCCAAAGTTGTTCTACAAAATCTGGAAAATTTATCAACAGTCTTTATTTTTGAGCCAAATTTGAGCTGATATATTTTGGCACTCAAAACTCCGAATTTAGTTCCGTTTATTGTGTTTGAAACTTTGTCTAGAACTCTTATTTTAGTATAAATTTCAGAGGCTAGTTCACTTCCTGTGAATTTTGCCAAATTTCCAAAGTTTGCCAAAAAACAAGACCAAAACTGTCTTGTGTGCTTATAGCAGCCACTTTGGGCTGAAATTTGAATGTCTTCCATTTAGAATCATAGAAAGGTGTCTTTTAGGAACTTTTAGTACATTGAACCAAGATTCCAACGGTATAAATTTTTCCAA